TACCTGGGGTAACACAAGCAGAGAATAGCTGAGGCCAATACTCAAAAGTCTTTTCTAACTATGGGGTCCACCACCTGCTCACCCTTCTCTATCTGCAGTTGGCCACTGAGTTTTTATCACTTTTTCCCACATCAGCACCAGTTCACATTTTCTCCATGGCTGCAAGGAATGCAAATTACTGTATTTACATACAGTACTAGCATACAATCCTTTAAGAGGAATAATTTTAATTCTGCAACAATTTCATTGGTGGAGAGGATGTGGATAAGATAAATCTTTTATAAGATTATAAATTTCTTCTGTATTTTAAGCAGCTTCAGGCCAGAGATCATATCTTATATATCTTAATATACTTAAAACCTAGCAATGTGCATAGCTAGAGTTTGACAAATAATTTTGCTATCTAGGGACAAGAGTTATAGGATAAGAAATTTTAAGAGCTGCTAGTCGAGATTTTTTTCTATATAAGATTTCTTAGCCCGTTCTTATGTCCTTATCTGCTTTAATCATCTACCTTGCAGATAAAAGGTAAGCCAGTTCTAGTTCTCCAGGGGTGGGGTGGGGACAGGGAGAAGGCTGGAAATACAGGGAACCTAGGTAATAGAAGTCCCTCAACTCTAAACTCTAAGAACAAATGTGCCATTTCTCTTTCTTCAGAGAGAATTTACTCATGGGAATAATTTAAGCTTATCTCAAAAGAAGGAATGACTTTAACTTGGATTGTGGCCAGCGTGGTAACTGCCATGAAACACTGCCACTTTCTCCTTAAAAGTCATTCAACTGGAAATGTTATCAGTGGGAAATTCTCTATGGGCCAAAGACTCTATTTTCTGCAATTTAATGATACTTATAAAACATTTTTAGTTCTAAGACATACCACCTTTCACCCTCCATACACACACATACATACACAAACACCACTTATACCAATCCAATGTGTTAGACTTCTGATAGAAGTAATAGAATTTTTTACAATCTAAAAGTTTAAAACATGTAACCAATACTATATAAGTTAATTTATGAATCTTTGTTTCTCTTTGCGATTACACAGGCATTTGGTATGTGGCTATATTTGAAGGCAGGAAAAGAGAATCATCCTGCCTTCCTGTGGAGGCAAGAAATAGTGAGCTATCCTCAACATCATGAAATAACCTAGAATGACTAAGTGGTATATCAAGTATCAAAGTACAAACCACTTAACGAGGGACTACCATGAGCAAGGGACTATGACAAGCACAACACCGGGAATAGCAAGACAAATATGACCCAGTCATTGCCCTCAAAAAGCCAACAGTCTAAAAGGAGACCTCCTAGTGGAGTAGGGAGGAGGAAAGAAAAATCTCCATCAAATTAATCATCCAAAAACTGATGGCCAAGCATACAAGGACACAAAATCTACAAAGCTTTTACCAAGGAACTGGAAAGAAGGCAATGAATCCCCAATATCATACGTCTCATTGTACAAGTCCTCTTTTACCCGCTACTCCATTATACTTTATCCCTGTAATGGTTAATGTTATGTGTCAACTTGGCTAGGCCATGATTCTCAGTGGTTTGGAGACATCTGACTAATGTAATCACCTCCATGATGTGATCCAATGTGATCAGACAATCAGTTGAAAGGGGAGTTTCCTGAGGGGTGTGGACTGCCCCCAGCATATAAATGGATGTTCTGGCAAGACTTGCTCACGTGCACACATGTGCATTTCTTTCTCTCTCAACCCCGCACTCTTCTCAGACTGTTGCCTGACCTGCAGATTTTGGATTAGCCAGAACCTGCAACCTCGTGAGCCAGTAAAGGTCGCCAGCCTGCCGCCTGAGCCATAGATTTAGGGCTTGTCAGCCCCTACAACTGCGTGAGCATTTCCTTGAAGTAAATCTCTCTATATATATTTATATATATGCTTCACTGGTTTTGCTCCTCTAGAGAACCCAGACTAATTCCTTTGTCTGCACGTAATGCACATACTTAAGTAGATTTATTAAGTGGTTATTTGACCCATGTCTTTAATAAGTATGTCTAGACTTGAGGTTCTTTCAGGATCTAGTCCGGTATTTTGAATATGTTTCATTCCACACTGAAACAGCAGTTAACAGCAGAGAAATTCTTGGGATGTTGTAATAGACTAGGTTACGTCACTCCTCTTTGCAAATTCTTAAGTAAGAAAGGAAATTAAAATGTTGTTTATTTGTTTTAATGGTGAAAAGGGATGAGAGCTGATACATCTACATATACAAGTTTGTATGTACATCCAGGGAAACATAAATGGGTTTGGGGTAGAGAGAAAAGAGAGAGTAAGAAGGCAAATCAAATTCAAATAGACTGAAAAGGGATGATAAACACTGAGATAAGGTTGTGACTAAAGATATATTTTCTAACATTTTAACAATGAACATGTAATACTTTTGTTTGTTTTTAAAGACTGAAGGCTCAGCACGGCAAAAGATAATTACTAATAATATGCTATTATTATTAGTGCTATTTTAGCGCTGTCTGAAGGATAAAATACTTTAATTAACTATGATGATAAAAAATACATGAACAAAAAGTTTCTGACATATATAAATCTCATCTTCCTTCCCTAATAAATTTTTTTAATCGTTAAGAAAATAAGGTAAGATAGCCTTCCTCTCCACAACCATTTCCAACAGAAACAGAACAAGAAGTAAAATGGTTGGAAAAAAAGAAAAGAGAGAGAAGCAGCCACCCAGATAATTCCAGACATGTGTTATCTGAATTTAGCTGCCTATGTAGCCTAATATGCCCAATCAGGGACTGACAGAATTTTACAGGTCCAATGTACAGGGAATAGAAAGATGAAATGTGGGGGCCTTCCTCCAATTTATCAACTTTCTTCTGTTGCTGTTCAGAGTCTTATCAGAGATTGGAACTTGACTCCTTAAAGCTCACACTGAAGGATACATAACACTGAAGGTTGTTGAAACTTAAAAATGCCAAGGCAGAAGGTTTTTTTTCGTCTTCTACTTCTAGTAGACTGACCTGAAGGCAGCATTAACTGATTTAATGACCCTTCCTCATCAAGAGTCCTTAGCACAGAGCATTGTTCTAGAGAGAAATCTTACTGTGATATCAGCGAATCTCTGACATTTCCTGATTAAGGACTGCTACTTCTTTTGATAAGGAGGCTTGGTAGCACATGAGCTAAGCCCTTGCCTGCAAACCAAAATGTTGGCAATTCGAACACAACCAGCAGCTCGGCGAGAAAACTACTTGCAATCTGTTCCCATAAAGATTACAGCCTAGAAAACACTATGGGGCAGTTCTACTCTTTTGATACTGCTCTAATACTGGTTTATTATGTAAAAATACACCCCACTGTCATTACCATGGCATAAGGTTTAAAATGAAAAGGTTGAGCCCAAATCATCCAGAAAGCAAAAAAGCAGCAGATCAACTTTATGGTATCTTTGTCTCTTGCCATATGGTTCAAGGAAATAAAGATCTTTCAATGAGGAATTCGTGACTCATAGTATGATGCTCACTGTAACCAGCAGGGCTCCCAATAATACATCAACACCTGGTCTTAATCATTAAATTTTAAAAAGACACTCCCAACAAGAGAATGCAAAATCCTAATGCCTCTTTCAGATAGGAGGCAACATATTCTCATGTTATGAATTTAGTAAGAGGCCTGCATAGTTGAAATGATTCTGAAACAAAGAACCACAACCCAAAACAGCCTGAACACTTTTGTTATCTCAAACAATGGGCAGTTAGCCATTCACTCCTCTCTCTTAGTAAATATTCTTCTTGTTTTAGTCAAAGCCCATGATAAATTCGATAAGACTGTTCAAATTTAGCTGTACCAGATGCTTGAAAGCTGGGGATGAGAAACACTGGCTGTACAATAATTCCTATTATAATATTTTGTACATAAATGAGTGCTATGCATATGTTCATGTAGTAAAAATAAAATTATATTGCACACCTATGACCAGTACTGGAAATAAAGAGGTGAACAAATAGACATAGCCCCTGCCACTGAGGAACCTACAGTCTAGTGGGGAAGACAAACACTGACAAGTATGATGAGCATCACAAGAGAGCATACAGATACTATGCTGGGCTGCAGACTGTGGATACTGTGGATATTCCTTTCCTACTTCTTTCCTAGGAGCCTTGGTAGCACAGTGGTTAAAAGCTCGGCTCCTAACCAAAAGGCTGGCAGTTCGAATCAGCCAGCTGCTCCTCGGAAATCCTATAGGGCAGTTCTACTCTGTCTTATAGGGTCATTATGAGTCAGAACCAACTTGACAGCAATGGGTTACCTCTTTCCTGAGTGTGTCTTCTAAAATAGCAGAAGGCTTTTATGCAATACATGCAATACAGAATGTACAAAATATATAGTTACAATATAAACATATATAACATAAATATATAATACACAATATACGAAATTTTAAATCCAAATGAGTCCTCTCCCCATAAAAGTAGTTGCCTTAATGCTGCCCTTTCTTCTGTTAACAGGAGGAGGTGACCTAATGTTTTTGATGATACTGTAGGACTTTTGCTCTCCCTCTTGTTTTGTTCATTAGAGTTATACCACTGCTATTTATAAAATAGCTTTAGAAAGTCCATCTTCCACTGTGTAGAGACATATGAACAAACATTTAAATTTCAGCTCCATTAAAATTATAAACATAGTTATTGAAATACATACAATCTCCAAAAATCTCCTGTTCTCTCAATAGTCACATGAGTAAATGTCAAGTATTATTAGAACAAAGTTCACATCTCTCTTATTCTCAGATATCTTTTGATCTGGGGACAAAGTTTTTCAAATGAAATTTCATGGTTCCCCAAACCTACTTGAAGTACTTTTTATTCCTAACAGGCTCAAGGCTAAGCAGTCACATATATTATAAAAGCCTTTATCTGTTTTGCAGAGATAATCTCTTTGTGCTGATCTGTACCTATCTCAGTAAAAAAAAAATAAAAATGCTGTGAAACTGAATGTGGCCACGAAACAGAACCCTACCTTCACATCATTCTTCTCGTATAGACCCTTCATGCAGATTACGCCAAAGCCAGGCTCTAAACAGGTAACCTTGCCAGGCCCAGGACAAATGGAAACTCTGTAACTAGTAGCAGTCTTGTTGCTTCTGATTCTAGGTGGAAAACCACTGACAGTTAACAACTCTGCTCTAAGTGGAGATAGAATGGTGGCGTGAAAAAAAACAGAGGAGTCAGAGTAGGAAGACCAGGTTCGCATCCAGACTTCACCAGTTAGTTACTAGCCGTGCACTGCAGGCAGGTTACTTAATTTCTCTGAACTGCAGTATCCTCATCTGTATAATGGGGACCACAGCAACACTTACCTTTATAGGACTGCCAGGAGATTACATATGTGGAAGTATTTTATAAACTGTAAAGGATTATATAAATATTATTTATTTACTTTATTAATTTTTCCTTAACATAGTAATTATATGTTCATTTTAACAACTAGAAGATACAAAAAAGTATTAAGAAAAAAAAAAATCAACCATAGGTCTATCACTGAAACATTATTATTTCTTTTAACTGAAATAAGTCCAACATCAAACAAAAAAAAAGCTAAAATAATTTGATGTTAATATTGATCATTTACAAATGACAAAATTAAGTGCTAACATCTTTTTAATAGAAGAGCAGCCTTTCCCATTTATCAGTTTAAAGTGAAGACAATGCCGCCATTTATCCCAGAGCTGGTCCCAACAGAGTATGATATATGGGTGCGGCTCATAAAAGTCAAGGCCACAAAAACTCCCAAAATAAATATTTCATGAGCCCAAGGAATAGTTACAACACATGCCCTCAGATGCAACAGAGAAGGCAAAGTGTCTGAAGCCCCACTAGTAAAACTCGCACAACTGTAATGGTCACATGAGAGACTGAAAGATTTCTATGGGCCACTTCAACAGAAGAAAAGAAAAATTTATACACCATGCTACAGGGCAGGCAAGCTAAGCCGTCTGACTTTTTCACACTGCTTACTGAATCCCACCCTTGGAACTTCTTGTGCCTCTCCCGTTTCTTTCCCACCCTCCCTTCTCCTACCTCCTCTCTTTATTATTGCACTGGAAACGCCCTGTGTTTAAAATGGTCTTTTTCCATACAATGGAATATGATTCAGCCATAAAAAGGAGTGAAATGCTGTTTCATGCCATACCATGGACGAATCTGGAAAACATGCTAAATGAGATAAATCAGACACAAAAGGCCACCTCCTGTATGATTCCATTTATATGAAACATCCAGAATAGGCAAATCTATAGAGACAAAAAGTACACTCGTTGTTAACTAAGGCAAGGGAGGTAGAGGGGGGGAGAGAAAGAGAAGTGATTGCTAATGGGTATGGGGTTTCTTTTTGAGGGGACAAAAATGTTCTAAAATTAGATTGTGGTGATAGCTGTATAACCCTGTGAATATACTAAAAAATATTAACTTGTGCACTTCAAATAGGTGAATTATATAATATGTGAATTGCATTTCAACGAAGTTGTTTTTAAAAAATGGTGTTGTTCAGGATCCTGATTAGAAAAACGGACGGGTAAATACATATTCTCTTCCTAAACGTGGAGTAAAACACCAGGAAGTTGTCGGTGGCTTTTAAAGTGATGACCCTCTCAGTTGTGACATGTATATAAAACGACCAGACTACTTTTGTTTAACAAATATGCATGAAATTACAAATCCAAATGAGTCCTGTCCTCAAAAAAGTAGTTACCTTAATACTGCCCAACTCAAAACTTGGTCCCCATATTCTTGATAATTCTATGCCTTTGCTTGGGTAGTTCCTTCCATTTATAATGCCTTTCTTGCCACATCTTTAAATGTTCAAATCCCCAAGTCCTTAAGGCCCAGCTCAAATGTTACTTCCCCCACGAAACCTTCCCTGACACTCACATCAAAAGAAATCTCACTTTTCTCTGAACTTCCACAGTGCGTAATTTCTTCACTGACACTTAGAACCTTCTATCCAGCATCATACTTATTCTATCCAGCATCACACCTATTGCTTTGACATTAGAAGGGGTCTTAGTAAACACCTGTTCAATAAATGGATAACTATACCCAGTAGTTGAGAATTTCATCTTCATTGGGTAAATTTTAATTCTGGAAATATCCAAAGGTGATTTAGACTCAAGAATGGTAAAGTAGTTGGGCTAATGAATGTCACCTCTGGTCAAAATGTACGTTTTCTTGACCAGAGTAAACCAAAACTAACTTGGCATATGTATGTAAATAATCTGAAGGAAATTTCCAAAGAGAAACATTGAAATAAGGATATAACATGTCAAGGTAACTATGAAAGAAACACCTCGATTATATAAATTCCAGAATGTTTGTTCAGAAATCCGTTTCATTACTTTATAGTAACACCATGTTTTTTCCTAGCAAAATGTTAGAGTTATGTTATCAAGTCCTACTAATTCTTCCACTATATTTCTGGTTATTTACTTATCCATTTTCCCGGCCACACCCAAAGTCCATTTTTTTAACGATCAATCAATTTAAGAAGTCTCCTAATTTATATCCCTCCCCTTTGTTCCTTCCTTCCTTCAACAATATTTATCAATCCATCCTGCGTGCCTATTTTAATGGCAGGAACTGGGGAGCATATATAGAAATATCAAACGAGGCCCGTTCTCCAGACACAATCTATTTGGGAACTTGAGGGACATGCACGGTTCATCACAATATTCAGCAGCATATATTTAAGGGCCACAACTGGCCCTCACAATTCAAAGGAATGGGTAAGTCCTCTGGCCTCCCCAGAACACAACCCCTGTACAATCTTCCTCATACACCATTCTCATTCTCTCCCTCTCAGTCTTCCTTTTTTCATTGTATTACATAATGCTTTCTGTTAAACTGCCCATATGTCATGCACCAACTTCATCCAATTTCTCTCCAACTTGCCCCCTTCACCTGCAATCAAGACTATCTACCTGGTGTATCTGGAAGTGACTCACTCACAAGTACCCTTGTTCATGATTTACTATTTATCCGTACAATTGTCCCCACATTCTCTCTGCTAACTCATATCTACCACTGATCTCAAGTCCTTTCTTTTGCATGTGTTGGGAAGTATGTAACCATATATCATTTTTTTTCAGTTTATAACAGACCTTATTTACCTCTTTTGTATTCACCTGTGTTTATTCCAGTGTTCCGAACTAAGGTTGCACATCACAATCACCTATGGAGCTTCTTAAAAATACACAGGCCTGGGCCCGACCCCTGGAGAGCTCCTCAGTAAGTCCAGGGTGGGATCCAGACATCTTTATTTCTAAAAAGCTCCAGTGGTGATTCGGATGCACACTCCAATCTGAGAACCACTGATTTTTTACAAGGCTCCCCATCCAGCAGACATTCAGAGCTTATTAATTCATGGCATTGAAGCTCATAGATAACTTTTGTCTAAATAGCTAACCAGAGATCAAACTCCAAACAAACTACACTAACTCGTTCCAAGTGCAACATGTGGTTTTAAAATTTCATTTCCTGAAGTACTACATGGAGGGACACTATTACCTTGTCTCTTTACATTGTTTCCCATTTGCTGAAAAATGGAGGTCTGGAATGCAGCCATGTTAGACAACACTACATAAAAATGCACTCTGGCGTCTTAGATTAAAATTAGTTATACAAAGGACAAGAACTGGACATTCTGAATGAAGACAGTATATCAAATAGATTCTTACTGAATCTACCTGGAAGAAAGATCAGGAGTCTGGTCAGTGGTGTATCCCAGTCTTCCTCGCTGCCAGTCTCCTGAACTGCCTGACAGAGTCAAGGGGCCCCTGAAGACTGAAGATTTTCAACTGCTGAAGTGACTCTAATGCACCAAAGTGCTCTAATCAGATAAGTAACCCAAGCCCCACCCAGACCCACAGTTGCCTCCCAACTGCCCTGGCACATACTATTTACACAGCTCAGTGGGGGAGCAGTATGAACTCTTCCCAAAGTTGCTCCTCACAGGCAGCAGCAGTCTGAGTCACCCACCCAGGGTGGGAAAGAAAGGTGTGATATTAGGCAGGGGAGTGTTAGGAGATGGGTCACAGCCTCTTTTCCCTTTTCAGAAGTGGGCTCCGCCTCCTCCAGTAATCACTTCAATTTTTAGTGGACTCATAACATCCTATAGGACAGAGTAGAACCGCCCCATATGGTTTCCAAGAAGTGGCTGGTGGATTGAACTGCTGACCTTTTGGTTAGCAGAGAGCTCTCTTAACCACTGTTCTACCAGGGCTCCTTTTAGTCACAAGCAATGGGCAAAGGGGTCTGCAGAGTCATTCAGCACCCCTCCAAAGCTGTGGGTTGTGAGGGGGGGGCATCCCTTCCTGCTCTCCTGAAGGGGCTGCAGATCCTAAATTCCACAGGCCTCTCCCAGCAGCTCCATCTTGCTTCCTGCCAGGAGGAGGAGCTGATGGACAGCGAGTCAGGAAAGGCTTCGTGGAAGGCAGCCGTTTGACAGCAGGTAAAGCCAGGTGAAAATCTCCCCAACAGGGAATAAAATAAAAGCTAGCAGGTTTAGGTGAAAAGTCATGAATTACTTCAAAAAAGAATGACCGTGTTTGAGTGCCAGAGGTGTAAGGAGAAGTAAAATGCCCAGGAGGGGGAGAGGAGGGGGAAGAGTTGTGGGTAAGACAAGTGCACAAAGGGGCCTGCTGCCGGGAGCGCTGGGGAGGGAGTGGTGGCAGAGGCGTGGGGGGGGCTTCCCCCCCAAGTCCAAGGGGGCTCCAGAGGAGGTGCGGAATGACTTTCCGAGGCGCCACAAGTATGAAAGGCCCCTGACTGAGGCAGCCAGACAAGAGGGGGTAAGGCGTTTCTGCTGAGGCTTCGTGGCTCTCAATGTCTATTCATTTTGAAATTGGGGGATGGGGGGTGTGGGCGCGCAACTTAGAGATTACCCCTGGGCACTCCAGTGGAGAGGGGAGGAAGGCGCAACTTAGAGACTGCCCCTGGGCCCTGTTACCCTCCCTAAACCCCTGGGTGGTGGGTAAGGTAGATCTCAGGGTGAGGGGCAGAAGTATTAGAAAGGAGAACAACGTGGCTCAAATAAGAATCCCTGGAAGGAAAAGCAGGGAATCAGCAGCAGAGTTCGCTAGCCCACGGGCCAGATGGGGAGGCCTAAAAAGGAGCTGAGACCAAGGGAGTCAATGTTGGGGGCGACAGCCTGCTGAGTGAAAGGGGCGATCGTACATCCTACAACTATTATTTATGGAGCGCATACGAAGGGCTGTACGCTACGTTAGACAATTTACAAATTCCACCTCGCTGAATCTTCACAACAAACCCCCAAGGCAGGCATTAATATGACTGCCCCCATTTTACAGATGAGGAAAGTGAGGCCCGGTCAAGGTCATATAGCGGGGGAGTCAGGATTCCCACCTATGGCGGTCTGGCCCTAGAACTCACGCGTAAAGCCACAGGCAGCGAGCAGGCGAAGAGGAGCCGCGAGGCGGCCCAGGACCCAGGACCTGGACCCGGCGGAGGTCTCCCGCCCAGCTCCCTGCCCCAGGCCCAGCGCGCTCACCCGGACGAGATTGCTGACGGCCGCCTGCACCGCGGCCACCGGCGCGGTGAGGTCAGGGATGGCTTTGCCGTCCACCTCGCCCTCCTCGTGCATGATCACCAGGTGCGAGATCTGCTGCGCCACCGGCTCCAGGATGCTCTCGATCGTGCGCGTATGAAACACCGGCATCGCGGCGGCTGGCGGGGCGGCGAACCGCGGGCGACAGAAAACTGGGATCGACGGCGCGGGGAACGAGAGCAGACTCAGACTCGGAGCAGTGAGGCGACTCGCAAGCCAGGGCTTCCCCCTCGGCGTAACCAGCCTCACGGGCGCCCCGCCCCTTGGGTTGTCGCGCCCAATGGCAGCGCCTCTCAGACCCGGGCCGTCACTCCTATTGGTCTTGCTTTGAGATGCTTCGCCCTCGCCTCCGCGCCGCCAAAGCCCCGCCCCACCCCGCCCCCATTCCCAAGGGAGGGGCCTGGGAT